CTCATTAACAACCTGTGTTATGCAAATGACAAAACCTTGCTTGCTGAAAGTGAAAAGAACTTGAAGCACTTTCCAATGAAGTTCAAAGACTACAGCCCTGAGCATGGATTATAGCTCAACATAAAGAAAACAAAAATCCTCACAACTGGATCAATAAGCAACATCATGAGAAACAGAGAAAAGTTTGATGTTGTCAAGGATTTTATTTTATTTGGGTCCACAATCAACACCTATGGAAGCAGCAGCCAAGAATTCAAACAATGCATTCAATTGGACAAATCTGCTATAAAAGACCTCCTTAAAGTGTTAAAAAGCAAAGATGTCACCTTGAAGATGAAGATGCACCTTACCCAAGCCATGATGTTTTCAATGGCTTCACATGCATGTGAAAGCTGGGCAATGAGTAAGGAAAAACGAGGAAGAATTGATGCCTTTGAATTATGCTATTGGTGAAGAATATTGAATATACCATGGACCGCCCAACGAATGAACAAATCTCTCTTGGAAGTACAGCCAGGATGCTCCTTAGAAGCAAGGATGAGACTTCGTTTCACATACTTTGGACATGTTATCAGGAGGGACATGTTATCCTGGAGAAAGACATCATGCTTGGTAAAGTAGAGGGTCAGTGAAAAAGAGAAAGATCCTCAACGAGATGGGTTGACACAGTGGCTACAACAATGGGCTCAAGCATAACAATGATTGTGAGGATGGTGCAGGACCAGACAGTGTTTTGTTCTGTTGTACATAGACTTGCTATGAGTTGGAAGGGACTTGATGGCATCTGACAACAACAACAACAACAACAACAACAGACATTAGCAAAAATTGCTAAATGGCTTTCTAACATTAAAATTCACATTAAGACATAGGCAAAAGGATATTTAATGATTGCCTAATGAATAATGGTCATCTATTTGCAGTAGTTGGGTAGAATTTCTGATTACAGCCTTGGTGATGCTGAAAAAATAAGTTTAGTCTCCTGATGTACACATACTTAAACTTATGAAAGAGAACATATGTGGCTTTCGGTGACTAGTGGAAAGATGCTCTTGCCATTCTTGCTGTCAGCCTCAATATCTGACACACAGAGCATGAACAAAGTAAGTAACTCCTGCCCACACGCCCACACAGCAGTGCTAAGGTACTGGTTACTCCATTGGTCAGATTTGTACCTCATCCCAACAGTGCTTTCTTCCTGTGTGTATTCAGAATGCAATATGACAAAGCAAAGCTTAGAAGGGAAGAAATGGATAGACAGTAGCCCATTGCATTATGGGGTGGTTAAATTCCTTATAAAGCACTGGCAGGGCGAAGGGAGTGTTTTATAAACACTGCGTATTAGGCATTATTGGATGTTTTCAAGGTCAAACCATAAACTACTCAAAGTCTTTAAAATATTCTTCCCAAATACCAGTCTACAAAACAGTCACATTTAACTCATCTCTAGAACGTTTTTAAAAGTTTACACTTGGGCCCCACTTGGGTATTCAGGAGGAAATAGAGGGAATTGACCTTAACTACCCTCAGATAACAAGTCCTATTTGTGGTTTTGGCTCCAGTGTAGCCTCTGAGCTGGAGGAGATAAGGGTTTCATGATGACATAAGAAGCATGCCAACCACCAATTGGAGAGCTCCTCAAGCAAGCTGGGAACTTGGTCCATCTGCACTCTCTAGTTGGCCCCAGTTTAAAAGATTTCATCACAAATAGTATGACTGTGGCTATCAAGGCACTAAAACCACTCCTTCCATAACATAATGGTCCCAACTGTGTAGATAGGTTAAAGTACAAGCATGGACTATATAAACTTTGTGAAGTTGTTTAAGTCATGGTAAGGAAAAACATCTTGTAGCACACTGAAAGCATGAGTAAAACAACTGACTTCCCCCTTTACTGGACCCAGAGACCTGAGGGAAAGGCTAAAAAGGGCCTAATACATGGGTCCTGCTCCTTGAGGGACACTGGGGTAGGCTCAGAATTGAAGGATAAAGGAGGTGGCCCCAACGGCTCAGTCTTGGTATTCTTCTTATCCATTTTATCTTCCTATATATAGGATTTAATCCAATGACCAGTTACAAATCCTCCAGCATTACAAGGTTCCATTAAAGAATTTAGGTGGTACATAGGGACTTCTACCTGTCTGGTCTGAGTTAACAGATTTGGCCAGGATTCAAATTTTCCCCAGTTTGTATGTATACAATCAGGCTGAACAAGATACTGTATCTCAAGAGACCTCATGATTTCCAAGTTGTATAGTAGAGGGAAGGAAAAAAACCAACAAAACTAAACCCATTGTCTTTGAGTTGATTCCGACTCATAGTGACCACAGAGTAGAACTGTCCCATAGGGTTTCCAAGGCTGAAATCTTTATGGAAGTAGACTGTCATATATTTCTCCTACTGAGCGGCTGGTGGATTTGAACTGTTTATCTTTCAGTTAGCGGTCCAGTGTTTAACCACAGAGACACCAGGACTCCTAGCAGAGAGAGAAGAAGAGGAAAATGGGGAAGGAGAGAAGGGAGAAAGTAGGAAAGAAGGAAGGAGAAAAGGGGGAAAGAAAGGGAAAGGGAGAATAGAGAATGTTCTTGAGTCATGAATGAAAAATAGATTCCTGTGTCACAAGTAAATATACCCACTCTTCACTTATTACATGGTTAGGTTTCAAACACCAGTCTGTTATGCGAAATTGGCATTATGTGGGAGTTGGGGCCATCTCTGTTTTCTGCGCTGGTGTTCTCTGGTCGCTCACTACCCATTGGAAGTCCCCAGAGCAACTCTGGATGTGCTTGATGAGGGGACCCCCTTCCCCACCAGGCCTTCCATACCACTGCGGAGCTCGCTGGATTGGGGGTGGTGGTGGCGGTCAGGTATTGCCCGCTGCCTGCTGCCTTCTGCCAACATTGCCTGTCCCCAGCCCTTGGCAGGGACCCCGATCATCCTCTTTCCACCCTGGTCTCATAGCCCCATGTGACCCCTTTCCCTCTCCCCCCTTACCACCTCCCCCCACTGACCTTTCTGGCACCTTGGGGCCCTCGCCAGACAGCCCACTGCCCACCATCCTTTGTTTGGCCTGGTCATCACAGAGGCCTCTGCTATATTGTTCTGGGTGGCCCACAGAGAGCACCCCAGGCTGGTGGTGGCCCCATGTTAGGCCCAGACCATCAGAGGTACCGCCTGAGAATTTCTTCAAAGTTGTCATAAATGCCGAACGTCGGATAATGAGATAGTTGACGAGTGAGGAGCAGGTGTAATAGTTTTTGTTTGCTCCCCACTCATCTCCCAAAAGAGAATTTTCTAAGATGAGGACAACAAATATTTGCTCAGCAAAGGGTATATTGATATGTTGAAAAATAATTGATGTTGGTAGCAGAATTTGGTCCTAGGAAGTGACCTCTTTTGCTGCATGAATTTGTTGCAGTTGAGGCTGCAGTGGGAGTGTTGCTGTACATGAACAAAAATAGTGTACTCTTGAATATTGACAGATGTGATATGGGGTCGTGAGGGACTGATCATGCTTGAGTCTTGATCGAAAATAGATGTCTGTGCCAAAAGTAAATAATGGTTTTTATTTTATCCTCACTTATCTCCTCAAAATAAATTTCTAAGATGAAAACAACAAATAGTTGCTCAACAAAAAGTATATTAATATGATGAAAAACAATTGATGTTGGCAGTAGAATTTGTCCCTAGGAAGTGACCTGTTTTGTTGAATGAATTTACTGCAGTTGAGGGTGCAGTGGGAGTGTTGCTCTACATGAACAACAAAAAAAATGTTTACTCTTGAATATTGACAGAGGTAGTATGGGGGTGGTGAGGGACTGAGGGGCTGTGCATTCCTGGCCAAGGGTCAGGAATGAATTACTTTGTAATACAGAGGAGATAATAGACGCTGTGTGGGAGGCGGATTGGAAGCAAGAGGTGAGGTGTAGAAGGATTAGCGGTATCATCGTAGCCCAAGAGGAAATTAGGAAAAAAAAAAAAAACAGAGAGGTTTAATAGGGATATTTATGAAGTTTTCCACATGGTGTTTGATGAAATTCATAACCCATGGAATGTTAAGTAAAATCTACCTTCCTCACTCTTGTGTCATGGAGTCTGATCTATTTGAAGAATGAAAGAGCCCCACAAGTGACCTCAAATATGTGAAGGAAAAAGACTTGGCTCTTCTTGGGAAGACTACTTCATGTGCATTATTTTTTATTTTAATATCGCCCAATACTATAATCAACAGTATAAGCAAGAATATACTGAGAGCTAATGCTGTCAGGAGATGACTCAGTAGTTCTCACATATTCTGAATACTCCTGATTAGGTGCAAAATTCTGGTGGTTTTGGAAGAGAAAATTGTTAGCTTTGTTAGGTGTTTCAGTTAAGACACAACCAGTTTAAAAAGAATCTCTCAAATTGGCCTAAATACCACAGAAATGTGTTACCCCTATAATAAGAAGTCCAGAGGAAGCACAAGCATGGGTGCATTCACTGGGATCCAGATCTTCTTTGAAATTCTCTCGGCTCTTCCCTCTTCTGTGTTGGTATCCTCAGGCTGGTAGGAGACTGCCACAGCAAGTTCGGACATCACATCACAACATAACATAACAATACCTAGTTGACAAACAGGGACCATCTCTTTTTAAAATTTTCTTCTTGAAGTGTACAAAACTTTCTCAAAAGTCCCCAGCACAGTTCCTATCATTGGCCAAGATTGTGTCACAGGTCTCTTCCTAAAGTGATCACTTGGAAAGAGCAATGGAATTAATGTGAGTGACCTGACCAAATGATTTAGAGTAAAATGAGCGTTCGGAAGGCAACCACCATGACCCCTGCAATGGTAGAGAAAAAGTGACAGTTTTCTTCAGATTAGGTTGCTTTCTTTAGGTTAGCTTTCTTGTATGTGTATATATGCAAACACACACACACACACACACACACAGGAAAGTCACAGGAAGAAAATGCACCAAATCTTAAGTAGTTTTGAACAGTTTCTATCCCATCTCTTTTATTTTTCTAATTTTCCACAATTAGTATTTATTATTTTACTTATCAGGAGAAACAAACATCTTTGTTTTGAAGTCTTTATTATTTCATCAAATAAAAGGAAGGAAAGTTAAGCATCCTGACAACACACATGCTGCTTTCTAATGATCTTCATGCAATACAGAACACCTCTCTTCACCCACCAAAAGCAGGAAATTCTGGTAGAAACCATGGTCAATAGTGGTTGATAGTTTGCGGTCAATATTCTTCGGAATATGGATAGTAAGGATGATCAACAGCACTGAAAAGAGAAGGAGGATAATAATTTATCAACTCTATTTCCACATACTCAGAAGTTTTCTCCGGAGGTGCAGTCAGGATAGGCTAAAAACTCTGAATTTACTGATTGCAGTCATTCGGAGGCTGAAGTTTTGAGCCTGAGAAAGTTTCTCTGTAATAACAGAAGGTACTTTTATGCTATATTTTGGTGATCATGTCCCTATCTCTATTTCTCGAATGCATAAGTGCAAGATGCTCGGCCTCCTGCAAACCCCACAAACATGCCGAACACCCACAGTTGCATGTACACAACACCAAAGTGACAAGCTGTTTGTTTTCTATTATAATTATAAGAGGGTATAAGACCAAAGAAGAATTGATGCCTTTGATTTAGGATGTTGGTGAAGAATATTGAATAAACCATTAACTGCCAGAAGAACAAACAAACCTATCTTGGAAGAAATATAGCCAGAATCCTCCCTAGAAGCAGGGATGGCAAGACTTGGTCTCACGTACTTTGGACATGTTATCAGGAGGTGTCAGTCCCTGGAGAACAACATCATGCTTGGTAAAGTAGAGAGTCAGCAGAAAAGAGGAAGACCCTCAATGAGATAGACTGACACAGTGGCTGCAACAGGGGGCTCAAAGATAGCAACAAGTATGAGGATGGCACGAGACCATGCAGTGTTACCTACATAGGGTCGCTATGGTTGAAACCAACTTGACGGCACCTAACAACATAAGAACTGTGGCTGACTATTTTTGGTCATTCAAGCCCCAGGTGTGCTTCGTCCTTAGATAATGAGAATGATGGCAGTAAGGATTGTGTTGCCCTTTTCCACTCATTCATTCAGTAAACACGTACTGAGCACTCTCAATGATACAGAGACCCTCCATTAAGGAGTTTCTGGTCTATTTAAAAAGAAGATATATAGCTAACTCACCATTCCTACGACATGTGACTAACGTTTTCTTAAATACAATTCATAAGAATACTTATTATTCAGTAGCTACTCTTACTGTTTGTTTTCTTTTCTGTGTTCCTTTTTTTCCTTTCTATAATTTGTCTTTTTCAATTCAATTTCTTTGAATAGTACTTTCTGAGCAATTCTGTGTTTTAGGAAGTGTGCTCTAGGCATAGAGCTACAAAGTAGACTAGGCATTCACATACAATCAAAGGAGATCATAGACTTATATTTAAATTCCTTTAGGTACAGAAAAGTTACTTTCCATCTTTTTCTCGTTTATAATGCCTTTTCACAGAATCATGATAATGTTTTCACCAACAGGAAGGGAACTTTCACAATCTTTCTTATGAGATTGAATCTTTAGTTTTATAACTAAAATTTTTTCCCCTTATCTCTAAGCTCCTAACTTAATTTCTCCCAGTTTGACTAGTGTTCTTTTCTCTCAATGGTGAGATCTTGCAGTAGTTAAACAAATGGAATACTATTATTATAAATAAACCAATGTCAAGGCTTCTCCAAGGCTAGCCTCCTGATGGACAACACTGGAGTAAAAGAACTACGGCAGGAGCTAGAGAAATCTCAGAGGATCTTACTTGGTATATTTCACTGGGGACAAATCAGTTGCTAACATTTTAGGGTCAAATTAATTTCATTAGATATGTACCATTCAGCTTGATGAGATGATGCACCTGTGGAAATGGAAGGTTTGATTAGGAAGGAAGGCGAAGGAAGAAACAAAATTGGAAGAAATAGGTGGTGTCTTGGAAGGAGAATACTCCATTAAGTAGAAATTCCACTGGACACTTACAGGCAGAAGTGGAAGCAGGGCTGCATTATGACTTTCATGTGTCCCAGGGACATTTGCCTTCACGGTCCCCTCTATGTTTTACAATTGTTTGGTTTAAAGACAAAAGTAAACCAGTCTAGATTCTTTATTACATATTCATTATTACTACATTCATTTCTGTTTTCTGATATTTAATATAAATTAAAGACAAAACAGTTTCATAAGCCCTTAAAAATATCATGGACTCTAGACACTGTCTTCTACACCTAATGAGAAAACTGGCCCTCAGTGGAGGTACACCAAGCACAGGTAGTGAGGGCATAAAGAAGAGAATTCACAATGATGTGAACTCTGGCAATTTTATAGAGTCATTCCTGAATCCAACTCACAATTCTGTTGGTCAGAGATTGAGCCCTGAGAGAAACCTCCAGTTGGATATACACAAGATCTCCTGTTGCACGCCTATGGCCCAAATCAGACCTGTCTTCCTGATTTAGAGAAGCTTAGTTTCTTTGCTAACCTGCTTACCACTGAAAGCAACTAGTGGAAAACAATGACAAGAGTCACTTACAATTCTAATGTAGCATATTGAAAATTTCTGTTGAGGCTATCAATTGCTTTCATGTCTTCTGGGGTCAACTGAAAGTCAAAAACCTGAAAGGAAGAAAAAAATCACATTAAACTTTCTCCTAAGGCAGTCTCCTAAGGCAGCTGGCTAATAAGTGAGGTATGAATACCCAGGAGGGAATTTGAGAGCTTTCTAGAGGGACACAGGCAAGGATAGCATTAAGGGAAGCATTTCCCAGATCACTGGCTTCCATGCGTACTCTGAGAATTCTGAGTTCTGACGCTTCTTTCTAACTCTCTCTCCTGCTCTGCTCCACTTTACCAAAGAAAGGCATACCACTCATTAATCCC